AGTTCATCCACAAAGACTTCCATGAAGCTGTGGCAAAAATGACCATAATAGATGCTTTTCTCTTCATTGTATATAATTCCCTCTACGTCATATTATCATAACATGAATTACATTAGTGATAGTATTATGACATCATTTTCAAAGCATTAATTATCAGAGCTTTAATTAAGTTGTGATCATCACGAAATGAGTCTGTTTTATGCAGATTGTTCATTCCATTGACAAGCTGGGGATATGGCCTCGTCTGCCTGTTTTCTTAGGGCTATTGTATCTGGCTATCAGACGTCACCTTCACCAAGAGTACAACCTCTTCAACGTTGGAACAACACCAACTGGGATTAGGTTCAACCATTCAGATTTTCCATACAGAACAGCTGATGGAAAATATAACGATCCTTTCAATGAAGTTGCTGGCAGCCAAGGCACCTTTTTTGGCAGAAACATGCTCCCTGTTGATCAGAAGGAAAAGGTCAACAATCATATATATATATATATATATATATATATATATAGCTAGTGTTGGTGGTGAAAGTTTTGAAGACACCTTTTCAAACGAGCTTCCATCATGGCCGGGCCATGTTTGGCAACATCCCATGTGAATGTGACTTCTGTTTTCAAAAACTAGGAGAGCACTATGGTCGACCCCAGCTTTACACACACACATGATGCTGTCTAATGTTCTCACCAAGTTTTAGCACGTTCAAGAAGAAATGAATTTGGGTAATATTATAAACTTTTCTAGCTTTTAAGCTTTTGAAATAGATGTCGTGCAAATTTCAAATTTTCATGACTTGGTGGAAACTTTGACCACATCTTTACATTTGTTTGGCTTCTAAAATGTTTAATGTTTTTTTTTTCGTAAAATTATCAGTGTATTATGTCAGGCAAGATAAATAAACAGAAAATGTAAATATTATATACTCGTCACAGAAAATTACTTACATTTCTTGTTTTAATTGAATTATATAACCATTCTCAATAGGAAAAAAAAATATTTTTAAGATATCTATTTATTTATACGAATTTCAAAAACTAATTTTTCTATAACCTCTTTAATTAACTCTTCTGTTTTTAACTCATGAATGGCAGTAAATCATATTCATCTTATACTTGGCCTTAATATCTATAAGAAATAATTGTGTTAGATTTATGATTTTTAACATTGAAAACATAAAATTATTGAGGGACCGAATTCCCATTCCGCCTTAATTTTGTAAATATTCAATGTTAATCTTCCAAGATTATGTAACAACAGAACTTGTAAGAATTTTAAATTAAAATAACTAATGACTTGAACTTGGATCGTGTGACAACACTTTTCACATTGAATTTAGTATATCAACTACTTGGGTGTGTTCAGCTTCTTAATCATACCAATTCGAATTATATATCTATAAACTATATTAATTATTTGGGTGAAAAATTATAAAAGGTAGAAGAACTGTTTCTATTTATTTAAAACGTATATATTAAATGATTTTGACTGTTATCAATACTGTATTAGGGGCTTTTATATTATAATAATACAAAGTTTATAAATTATTTATGTGAAAAATCTGTCAATTAAATAGCATGCTTCAACACAAAATTATGTACCTAATAAATAGTGTAGTATATATATGTAAGTTTTTCCATACAATAAATACATATATAGATAAATTTTACGTTTCTGAAAGTTTTGTTGAAAGCAAAAACTCAATCAAACGAACCTAAGACTGTGTATGTTTTGTGTTCTTCTATTGGTTGAATGAATGAAAACAAGAGAGTATGTGTCCGAAAGACAGAGAAAATAACTATACAACGAAGTTACTTTTTCTCCCACATTATTAAACAAATGAATAAAGTTCATAATGTTTATGTTTATGTTTTCTTCTTGTCTATCAAAATTTAGAGGAAATATAATTCAATTCAAGAGAAAAAAAAGAAAAAGAATGATTCGTGTTAATGTTTCTCCTATCATTATTTTTAAATTCTCAAACTGGGGGATTCATTAAACCTGGCGTACCCACGTGATTTTCTTTTAGAAGTAATAAAAAGTTTAGTTTGATAAATTGACGTGACCCAATGAGCTTTTTGTGATTAATGTAGGAGTGGTTTAAGTACCCTCCAAACCAAACTAATTACGACCAAAAGAAAACTTAATTAATTGGATTAGGTTAAGTTAGCTTATGGTTTATTTATATATTATTTGCTAACTTACGTTCAATTAGTTTGTTTGAAGAACAAACTGCCACTTGCATGCAAACCCAGTATTCTATTTAAAAAAACAAAAAAACAATAGAAAAATATATAATTTAATTAATCATTAATCCATTTAACTCACTTCACGTGATGGTCATGGATGTGAGTGAGATCAGACTTTCAACTCGCAGTTTCATGTTGGAAATATATTATGAGTGTCTTTGAAATCGTATCTGTCACAAAAGTTGCAACGGATAAAATTACATTTGAAACGCACTTCTTCTGCACCTAATTTTAAAGAGTATTTTCCTAATATTATTCACTCATTTTAGAGTATAATCCTTTCTTTTTTTTAATAAAAGTAGTACACGAAAATAATAAAATAAATAAAATAAAAAGCGGCATATGTAAAAGAGAGAGTGCAATGCAGTTGTGTCTTCCCAATCTGGAGAGGGAGAAGGAAGGAAGCGTTAAACGTGCGTTTTACACAGAGAGAAGAGAAAACAAACAAAACAACTGAACTGATTTTCTCTTCTCTTGTGTCTCAGTATCGTAACTCTATTCTCTTCTGGGCTCTCAGATCTTGCAGAAACCCCTTTCTCCATAGCCACAACTCTTCTATCTTCTCTTGAAGATTCTTTTCTCTTTCTTTCACACTTTCCACTTCCCCTCACTTTCTTCTCTTTCCTTTTTCGTTTGTTTCCCGGGAAAATCCCCAGCCGCAACCACTGTTTCGATCTTCCGCGAGCCCTCCAATTGCTTATTGCTCTGTCCACGCTCCCGCATTTCAGCTCCCTGGAATTTCCACCCCGAACGGAATTCTGCACTGCGCAATTTTCCGGGAAAGTGGGGGTTTCCGGGAAACGGAGCGTTTTCTCGATGACTATGCCGTTGCTGCAGTAACGGGGATAAGAAGACTGGGAGGTGAGAGGAATGGACGATCGAGGCGGTTCCTTCGTAGCTGTGAGGAGGATTTCGCAGGGTCTTGATCGAGGCAGCGCGTGCCATTCAACTTCTGGTAAACTTCTCTCGTGATTTTCGTAATTTTCAACGTTTGATTCCTTTTTTTAATTACTCTGGCTCACTCTCGCAATAGTCTTTGAATCGAGATTGAACTCAGGTTTTTCACTTGCGTGATGTTTGCGGATATTCAAAATTGCATTGGTGGGTGAATTACTGAATTCGTAATTCCTGCAGCTACTACTACTGTTTAATTATTATTATTATTATTTTTTTTTATTGGTTTGAGACTGAGTTGAGCTTGATATAGATCTCTATGGAACTAGCTCAGTTTACTATGGAGGGTGTTACTGTTAGTTAATCTTAGCTTTAAAACCTGTTTACTGTGCTTAATTTATAGATTCTATCCGTGATGGGATTATCTCGTAGATCTAGCATTCGTGAAATGCGTTATTGCTTGTTTATGTATACTGGAAAGTGTAGATACTGTTGTATCTCTTTTCATCTGGTGTGAAGCTGAGTTCAACTGTTTAGGTGCAGAAATAGCGGGGAATGGTGAATAAAGCAAGCTGGTGGGTGGCAGTATGATTAAAACTATGCAAGTGGCTAGCATAATGATTAAAGCAAAGCCCACTCTTCGCTGTGGTTATATTTGGTTGCTTGGCTTTGTCCGTTTCCCTTGTCCTAAGCTTTGGCATTAATACGAGCTATAGAAAACAAAATATTTATAAAGTGATACGTTGGTTGGAAAAGTGACAGAACAGGGAAGAAATAAACTTTTTTTTTTGTGGTTAGAATAAGTTGTGTGGTTTTAGAAACTGGGCTGATTACAAATTGTGTTGTACTGCTAAGGATAGTTAGTTACTCATAACACATGATTGATTTCTGTCAGTCAAATGGCTATAAATTTGCGACTCAAAAATTCGAAGCTCAATCTACATTTATGGGCAGTTTTATTTTGTTACAGCTGAGTTTGTGACAGGATCAACAGCGTGGCTTGGCAGAGGTTTGTCCTGTGTCTGCGCACAGAGAAGAGAAAGTGATGCTCGACCCTCTTTTGATTTAACATCAGCCCAGGTAATGGTTTTTGTGACTTAGTAGCTGAAGCAGTAATTTAATACCGTTCAGTAATTATGTTAACTTTTCTCTTGGGCACTGCAATAAATAAATGGAATTTTATAATGTGACTTTGTTGATGAGATGCTTCATCATACTCGTCTTTTAATGAGATAAGCTTCTTCTAAACTACTTACAACAGCAAGCATAACCTTTTCTTCATAGAAACATATTGAACAAAAATTTGTATTGGAACATCTTCCATTTTACCAAATAACAAATGTTTGCTTGTGATTTATACCTTCTGAGATGAAAATAATATACCACTATATGCTTCTTTTTTCTATTAAATATTGTTTATAATTATGGATGACAAATTCTCAGTGCTGTATCTTGAATTCTCAGGAGGAGTGCTTGCTGAGGTTACAGAGTCGCATTGACATTCCATACGATAGTTCTATTCCTGAGCACCAGGTATCTCTTCTATTGATATTGTTCATGTCACGGTGAGTGATGTGGTAATGACTATGTATGAAGTTCATCAAAGACTTTAAGCCACCTGCACATAACTTTATGTGCTTCTGATGCCTTACCATGTGTTCAACCTTTTATCTCTTAATATAATTTAGATTTTTTTTATGCTTTCTCGTAGGATGCTCTAAGAGCTTTATGGAGTGTTGCATTTCCTGAAGAAGAACTCCGTGGCCTGATCTCAGAGCAGTGGAAGGACATGGGCTGGCAAGGGAAGGATCCATCAACTGATTTTAGGTAGATATTATTCCTCTTGTTTTTATCTCAATGCCATAAACTGTCATCACTTTATCTACTTGTTTCTAATAGTTTCTGTTTGTGTATATTTTGGTAGGGGCGGTGGTTTCATATCATTGGAGAATTTATTGTTTTTTGCTAGGAATTTCCCGGTATGATCCCATTCTGTTCTTTTTTATAAGGTCTTTTTTTTCTTTTTTTTACACACATTTTGGTATTGTAAAAAATATTTAAGGTCATATTTTGGCCGTAGTGATTTATTCTTTTGCTTTATCTTTGACATATAAGTGTAACATTTATTGGTTTAGTTGAATTATAAATGAGAAGAGAATGGCATTGAAATTAATTGATTTTGTTTTTCTTTTGCAATGGTCTCTCTTTGTCAAAGTACACCAGCCTCTTTGTAAAATATAAAGCCACGGAACTTCACTGAATATTTTTTTTCGTTATTCACTGTTTGCTAGATGTTAAAAATCTGTACCCGTAACTTAATACATTTTTTGAATTGTGATAATATATACCTTAAACGCAGAGAATATTTGCTGATAATTT